TTCTTTTAAAATGCTCAAAATTACTCTTTAAATAGAGCATGTTTTAGCATATAATACTTTTCAATCAGAAACGCGCGTGCTTCGTGAGGGTCAAAGTACGGCGGATCACCAAACTCGTCCTCAGTGACGAGTTCAAATCTAGTTCCAGTTTAAGTTTGTGAGTGCTTCTGAACTTGAATCATATCTTGAGACCTTTGCAATAATTTTAGCAGCTCTATTTTGTAATATTTGAATTTTATTTTGTAGAGTTTGATTGCATCGTCCCCACACAACATTGCAATAATTAAAATGTGGTTCAATTATTGACTTGTACACCAATGACTGTATGTTTTGGGGCAAGATATAATTACTTTTCCTAAGGTAGTGTATAATCCAGGAAGAACTTTGTTTATTACATTATCAATTTGTTTATTCCAAGTTAGATTTTTATCTATGATTACAGCTATGTGTTTAATTAATTAAACGATCATGGTCAACAGTGTCAAAAGCTTTTTCAAGATCTAACATTACTAATCCTATAAGATTACCTATACCAATTGCATCAATCTAGTCTTCAGTAATGTTTAAACAAAGCGGAAGTAGTTGAGAAATTTGGTCGGAATCCTGATTGTTGTTCGTAAATTAGAGGGTCAATGAAAGGATATATCTGATCAAAAACAGCGCGTTCAAGAAGTTTAGATAAAATAGGCAAAATAGACACTGGCCGATAATTGCATGACTCTTTGCGATCACCATTTAAAAAAATTGGACATATCCTTGCATTTTTCTACAAGTTAGGGAAGGTTCCAGTTTTTAATGACATATTTATTAGGTATGTTTTATAGGAGCTGTAATTGAATTAATTGCAAGTATTAATTTAGCAGGGATTTCATCCTCACCTGTGGCTTTTTTAAAGGAAAGTTTTTTTATTTGCTCACAAATGTACTGGCATTCAACTTCATTAAAATTTAATTTATTGTTTTGATTAGAAATATTAGTGTAATTTTCATTTTTATCATCATCAAGATTTTGAAATTCCTTAGCTAAATTCGGTCTTACATTTGCAAAATAGTTATTCATTGTATTTGCAATAAGTTTTGGATCAGATTGGAAACCATAATTTATGTTAAGGTTTAGATTTGATTGTTTTTATTATTAGATGGGACAATACGCCTTATATTATTCCAGATGTTCTTGGAATCTTTAGTTTTTAGTTGCTTTAAGAAATATCCTTTCTTACATTTCTTTATATTATGATTTACTTTATTTCTTAATTTCTTGAATTCATTCCATAAATTTGGATTATTTTCTCTGTTAGCTTTTCTCTAAATATCATCACGCTCTCTCATTAGTATTACTAAATCATCAGTGATCCACGGTCTGGTTTTAGGTCTTACACGTTTTGCTTTATAGGAGCATGTCTATTGGCTATATTTAAAAATTGTTCCTCAAAAAAATTTAGTGCATCATCAACATTTGAGTATTTTGTTATATCAGCCCAGTTAACATTTTGCATATCAATTTGAAAAGAAACTTCATCAAAATATTTATAGCTTATAATTTTATATATTTGTTTACTTTCAGGTTTTTCTCCCTTACCTAAAACTGCAAATATTGCAGTGTGGTCACTAATTCCATTATGCAAGATGCCTGATTTTGATATTTTGTCTGGATCTGATGTGTAAAAATGATCTATAATAGAGTCTTGCTTTCTTGCACAATTCTTGTTGTTTCTTTAATTAATTGGGTTTACTTAGTAATTATTTTTAGTGATTTCGATTAATTTTTTTGTGTAGCAAGAAGGATCATTCCAAAGTAAGTCACAGTCACCAATGAGTATGTTTTCTTTTTCCTTAAAGTCATTATTTTCAAGAAGTTTTTCAAAAATATCAAAGAGTTCCATTCTAGATTCTGGTGGGCGATACCAAGTAATTAATAAGAATGGCTTACATTTAGGTTTAGTCATCAATTGATACTGCATTATCCTTAATTAAATCTAAACGTGTTTCATTAAGTGCTATAACATCAATACTGTTATTTAAATTTAAATTTCTGAATTCATCAAATTTAGCTGGCAGAGACACAATGTTTAAGCCTAAAAAACAGATTCCCTTGTTATAAAAATTTTACAGTTTGGCATTAAAATATCATGACAATTTGAGTCAGTAAAAAAGTTGGTATTGTTCAAAGTATAAATCTGTGGTGTTTCTTGATAAATTTTATTGTCTTGTTCTGTAGTTGAAGATCAAAATTTCACTAGAATCAGAGTTCTCATTGCATATTTCGGTATTGACTTCCTTGCCTTCTGCTCATTGTTGACGTTGCTTGGGACAAAATTTCTCTTTCTGGCCAGTACGTTGACATAAATAACATAAAACAGGTTTACCATGACGACACACACGCTGAACATGTCCGGTTTCACCGTGTGTATGCAGACTTCGTGATGTGTATGCGATTGGTCGCTTAAACATCATTGTCGTCAACGTGGCAAATGACTGCTCCTACTCCATATGGTGATGCGTCTGTGTATAGTTATAACTGTTTTCATGGATCGTAATGTGCCAACATCATGTCCTCACTGACAGTTTGGTTTGCAGTGTTAAATGCTTTACTGCATTCTTTGTTCCATGTCCATGGTTTATCTCAACAACTCAGTTAATGGAAATATCATCGTCGATAGTCGTGGAATAAATGATGCATGGTAATTAACTAATCCTAATTACGATCTTAGTTCTGTTGCGTTACATGGCACTGGTGCACTCTTAATAGCATTATTAATTTTATCACTTGTTGGTTGAATTCCTGCTGTGGAAAGCTTTCGTTTAGACTACCTCTCTTTGCAGAAATGCGCATTTTTCTGCTTTCACTCTGAGATAATATTTGTTGAATAGCTCAAATAAGTTCTCTAAATTTCTGATTGCTCTTCATCAGATGAGTAAGTGACTATGACATTGTCCATTCTAGTCCTGTTATTACTCGTTATATGAATCATTGCCATATGGCTGGACTCGAAGAAATTCCAAACGCTTATCTCATGTATCGGTATAGTCCGTGATGTGTGTTGATTGTTACTAACGCTTGTGCCTCGTCTTCCAAAAGTAACTGTTGGTATGCACATTTCAAATCAATATTAGAATATTGTTTTCCTACCTAATTTGGTAAATACCTCCTCTGGAATCAGTTTTAGATATTGATCGCAAGTAAACCTGGGTTTACTGTTATTTTATAGTCTCCGCAGACACATACTCTTCTATCAGCCTTTGGAATACAGACCAATGGGGTTGCCCATTGACTAAAATCTACTGGGTATAATTAATCCTTCCTGCATCCGGTTTTACTCTTTCTCAACTGCAGGGCGAAGTGAAGGGAACATTTCGAGCTTTGCAGAATTTGAAAATCACATTTTCTTTCAAATGTAACTTCGCTTTGTGTCCATTAACTTAACGACTGGCCAATATTATCATCTATTCCTACAGAGGTTTGAGCTTGTGAAGGTGTTTTACGTTACATTTTAACTACAACCATTGGCAGTACTTTTTTCTGACCATTATAATCCATTTACACGAATCTCTCCAGCTAGTTTAAGGTTAGTGCCTGTGTATGCATGCAGAGAATGTTTGACTGGATTTACTTTTGTAATCATCAAAGCTAATTATCAATACCGCTGCCTCAGTATCTACTTCAAGGTCAATGTCTACATTTTCAATACACATCAATACACATTACTGTAATCATGGACCTATTAATAGGTCCATGCTGAAATCACTGGTACAAAATTGTCCTGCTTTACACTAAAAACGAGTCAACAAAAATGCCATTACCCAATGTTTCGTAATCGCCTGGTGTTGCTACCTGTCTGACGAATTTCCGTTGGCAAGTACTATTTTCGTGTCCTCCACTGGACTGCGTTTGTTTACACTCAGATTTCAAATGTCCCTGCTTATTTGATTTAAAGCAAGTGGCATATTCATCTACATGCATCTCGTGTATGATTACTCATTCCACAGCGATCACTTTGTCTTTGTGTCATTTTCAGTGCTTGATAGCCTTTCACATGTTTACTGTATGTCCGTGTGTCCTTACATGAATTGGTTTGTATCATATGTCATACTTTTCATATTCGTCGTTGCCGCCCCTCTGCTGCAATCCTACGTCCACAGCTTGCTTAAAAGTATGGTTTTCAATAGCAGTTTCCTTTGAATATTTGAACTTAATAGTCCACAAACAAACTGATCACGTACAGCATTTTGCAATACATCTCCTTCAAAAGACAATATATAGCTTTCTTTTCAGATGTGAAACAAACTGAGAAATAGACTGTCCTGGTGTTTGTTTTGTGTTCCTGAAATATAAACCTTCCAGAAATTGTTAATCGTGTAGGCTTATAGTGTTCCTTTAGCATAGCTGTTTTTAGCGTATCGCATGGCTTTTTATTTGGTTTATCTGGAAACCATAAACCATGTAGCGTTGTGTAACCAGCGTCACCTAAGCTCCTAAAAAAATAGCTCTTTTTATTCCTTGCATAATCACCTTGTCAACATATGTATCAATGTCCCCTTTGTTGATGTTAAACTCATTGAATAGAAGTTGTGTTGGACGCTGCCATAGTGCTCGTTCGTGCGCGTCGTTTAGCTATCATAGCGTTTCCTTGTCCTTTTGTTGGCTAGCCTAGGCCTAGGTATTTACTCATGTTCTTATTGTACTAAAATATTCTATTCATCACAGATATGATCCAATTATCCTCGTCGTCAATGTCATCGTCGTATATTTGTATGCACTTTAATGAATGAACACCACAAAAGTTTTAACAATTGATTCAACTTTATTCAACTCAACCAAGGCCACGTGCATTAGATAACAAAAGATCATTCGATGTGTTTCCAATGTAACGTGTACGCGGCTATTACAGTTATGTAAACAATGTACTATGAAGTGTATAGTTGCATATACCACAGTTAGCATCTCGGTAGTTTTGCCGCTTAATATCTAGTAAATATTTGTAGTGAAAACTTGATTCTTACCTCTGCATTTTTGAAGAGTTTTTTGAAGTCCTCGTCAAAGTTGTCCACTGTCTTGTAATGTCCAGTCACTATTTTACGTTCAATTGTACTTAAGTCTATCGGGTCAGATATTCTGTTGTAGTAATCCCGATTCCTGCAAGAGATTATGAAATATCGGCTTAAACATTCAAAACTTGTGCACTGTATTTTTGTAACAGTTAAAATGCAAATTCCAGGATAAAATCATGAGCAAAAGTATATTGCATGTTACAAAATGAAATAATGCTTTTGATGGGGTCAATGGGGTTTGATATTGTTTCTCTTCTACTCATTGTACCCGTCTTCAAAAAGTCCAGGATCGTTTTTGTTCTTTTTGTTTATTCTACTTGTCTCCCTTGTCTATTTCTCTTCCTTCCCTTGATTCTCGTCGTTCATTGTTTGATCTTCAGTTTTTGTACAAATGTCTGAATTCCCGTTTTGATTGTGATTCAATGTCTTTGTTCTCTTTTCATGTCAAAGCTGTTGGTTGCCGTACTCGTCATTCTAAATGTAATCTGTTATATGTCCCGTATGCCGTATTGTTGAGTCAATGTCACCAAAAATGGTTTTGTTTCTCGTATTAGTTGTTTGTTTAATCATTTGTGTTGAAAAAACATAAATTTGATTGACCTTTTCTTTGATAGTTATAAATGTTTTTGTTGTAAAATTGTTAAGATTGTTTAAAGTTTATATTATCATATCTATTTTAGCATTTTGATCCATTCTGTAAGTGGCGGGTTTCCCACTGTTGGATGTGATTTTAAATAAATAAATTTAAAAAAATAAATAAACAATCTATTAATACAAACAAACTTAAATGCTTATAGTAATATCAAAAGGAATCTATGAAATAAAAGGAAAAGAAATTAAAAACTAAAAGTTGAAGTCAATTCAATAAATTAAAATTACCTTTTCTTGGAGGGTAGGTTCATAAATGGAATGGCAAGGCACTGCCCACTAGCATCCCTGTACATACACACCGCCGTGTAGATATCTTTGAAAACTTGGGCTAACCGTGCTGCTATGGTAACCTCCGTGTTCTCTTCTGCAGCTGCTAAATGGCGCGTCTTCACTGATCGGGACGAGTTCAACGCTCGAAATTGGGCCATGAATACATCTACAAGATACAAAGAGTACTTTATAACAATATAATAATTGTTAATTCAAATTTATTGTTATTATATAATTACCTTTTTCATTATTATTACTGTTACATATACTATATTACAGTCAGTGAAGATATTGACTTAAATATACAAATTAAACAATGACCACACCTTTGTCATCTTCTTTTGGTGTAGAGGGCTCATTGTTGCCCATGTGAGCTTTGCGGAGACGCTCCCTCACTCGTTTCACTTTCTCTATGTTCCTTATTAACAAGATCTGCCTCTCTACAATAATCTTCATTTCCCTCATGGACATTGGTTTGGGGAGTTGAAGCCTCTGACATGCCAGCGATGTACTCTCTATTGAATGGTCATGCTGAAAGAAAAAAAAGTCGGATTAAGGGGGAAATGATATATAAAGATAGAATTCGTAAATAATTACTATACGAAATCATTTCATCTGGTTACATAATCTGGGACAAAATTTGTGTAAGCCTGACAAAAGTGGCCAAAGCAGTTGCTGAAACCATTGCTAATGTAAACAACTAATTGGTAACAAAACAGATACAGGTAAACCAAACAGATACTTTTCCTACCAAACGAAATTAGTTTGATTATCTTATTTTCTAATTTTTATTTCATTACTTCACTATCATGACCACACAATTCAAACTGATACTGTATTGACATCATCATCATCATCATTACATCAGCTTCTTCCAAAAATCATTGTCCTTATCATTATTGAAAAGAAAAATTATTACAGTATTTTATTTAATAGTTGAAAAGTTGAGAACGCTATAATAATGTTGTTAAGCGAGAGCCCAACGTTGTTGTTTTTTCTTCGATCATGGCTATTGACCGGTTGTTTTGAAATAAAGAAACAAAACAAAGTTCAAATGCAACTCTGTTCATTTCTGACAGTGAGGAGTAATAAAATATTGGAAGGTGTCCATCCAATGGTAGCAGAGCAAGGTTTAACCGTATGTTAACCCTGAAACCTCTCACTGTTCGTGCAAACTTAGGCCTAGTAAATGCTGCCTAGGATATGCAAAAAAAAACGATACGGTCCAACAACATACAGCATTGAGACAGGGTGATTAATTAATAATAGTCTGCAGCGCGGTGCTGCTAATGGCATCAGTGAGTAGGCTATTTCAACAAATACAAGAACATTTGAAACACTGCGAGGTGTAAAGAAGAATTGAATAATTATAACAACTTGGCTGTAACGGCCTTTGATGAACGTCCTGCTATTATGGATTTACCTTATCATATCCATGGACCATTCTAAAAATTTGAATCAAACAAGACCTCTGTCGTCAAAAGGCTAACGATGAAAGCTTCATAGAAATCATACGGTCTTTATATGAATTTAATATCAACATCCATCTTAGTTGCTCTTTGTTGGACCTTTCTTAGAAGATTACTATCACCAATGAATTGTGGAAGACATGCTGAACTGGAATATTCTAGTATTGGTCTAACCATCGATTTATAAAGAATAGACATTAAACTGCTATCTAAATAGTCAAAAGATTTCTTAATTATTCCTAAACGTGAATTGGCTTTTTTAGCAACTTCTACAATATGATCGTGGAAGTGTAATTTATAATCAACTAAAATACCAAGATCCTTCATCTGATTAACAATGCCTAACTGAACTCTATTAGAAACTGTACCCATGAAATATGCTGCGTTCAATGGATTTCTACCAAGATGCATAATCTTACATTTGCCAATGTTAAAGGGCAACTGCCACTTCTCTGACCAATTACACAATCTGTCGATATCTTCTTTAAATTCTATAGCATAAGTTACTGAGTCAACAGTTTTATATGTCTGAGTCATCAGTAAACAGAAAGAGAGATGAATTAACACAATCAGCCTATTTACTGTTTTTATCATTGACTTTGACATAGACTTATTCTGTATGCTATTTCCCACAGTTTCTTATCATTGATCTTTTGTTCTTTTAATACTGTTTATTTAGATTGCTTATTTCAGTAGACTTGTACTTGCTTTGTACACCATTCTTTGTTGTTTTAGGACCGCCCAGATTATTTCAGTTAAATTATAGTTGTTTCTTATCACATTTGTAGAGTATCCTGATGAAGTCCACTGTGTGGACGAAAGCTAGAGAATAAATTATATATTGTTAGTCTCAAAAGTGCTGCTGTTATTTTTTTTTATTGTTCTACAATCAGGTAAGTCATTAATATAGAAAAACATATAACACTATAAACACTTCCCTGAGGAACACCACTATTAACGGAAGTCCAGTCAGACACTTCACCATTAACCACTACTCATTGAACACGATTTGACAAGTAAACTCTTGTTCAATTTAAAAGTTCACCACAGATACCATAGACATGCATTTTATGCAGGCACCTTTCATGAGGAACTGAATCAAAGGCTTTTTGAAAGTCGCAATACAAAATTTCCTCCACTGAAAAAGTAACAGTAGGCAAAATATCACTTTCGTAATTCAGACTAAGTATAAGAATATTTGAAGTATCCTCCTTTGTAAAAACAGAAGCAAATGCATGATTCAAAAGGTTAGCCTTTTGCCTATCGTCGGTTATTAATTCACCTGTTACCTTTACTTTTCCCGTTCTTCTCCTTAAAATACTTCCAGAAGGATTTCGGATTTGTCTTAACCTCAGATTCAAAATTTACGTTCAAAACTCTTTTTGGCATTTCTGATTATTTTATTGGTGAGACTCCTGGCTTTCACATACCTTATACCTTTTGCGATTAGACCTAAGAGTAATATACTTCATAATACAGTCATTTAACAAGGAATATAGTAAATTAGCAATAGAAATTCCGTCAAGTTTCTGCAAATTAGTATTTAGTGCAAACGCTTTAATCTTTGCTCTAATAGCTTCATAGTTGCCTTTATAGTAATTTATAGTTGGGGTAAGATCTAACTTCTCTGAAAAATCCAAAGCTAGATTAAAGGTTAGAACAACATGATCGCTTTTACCCAAGGGCACATTACTAGTGAGATCACAGATATCAAACGCATCCTTAGAGAAAACTAAAATCTAAAATATTGGACGCTTCACCAAAACGATAACGTGTTGGACATGAACATGATGATGCCATAGTAGATAGTAGTTTTTGGAGGTTTGCGGGGTTTAGCAATGTTTTATACAAAAAATTGCATTTTTACCCAAAAAGTAGGTTGTTACGAATGGAACATAATTTTTTTTTACTGATATACCAAGTGAGTCCTACAGTATACTACATGATTTAATCACTATCACAGGGTTTGGATGGGTCTTGCACTGTGTTTTGGGGGGTTTAGCAATTTTTTTAAAATAAAAAATGGCCTTTTTACACCAAAAGGTTGTGACGAACATAAAATTAAGATTTTTTTTTTTTAATGAGGTACCAAGTTGAGTCCTATACTATGTGATTCAATCATTATCACAAGGTTTGGATGGGGTTTGCGGTGTTTTTTTGGAGGTTTGCGGGGTTTAGCAATACCCAAAGTATTGAGAAAACACTTCTGACCAATCTCCATGATGGCATCCTCTCAATGCTTCCATAGATCCTTGATGGCTGAGTATTCTGTGCCCGGCACAGGTGATGGTTGGCTTACAGAAGAGTTTTTCACCAGACCTGAGACAAAGCCACATATCCTGGAACAAAGTTGTTTCTCTCTGCTGCTACCAATATGCAAGTAACCAGACATATATTCTTGATTGCACTTTGTTACACTGTTCTGTGTAGGCAGATTGAATACAGCTCCCCCAGAAAATTTGGGCCCAGCACAACCTGAACTGGTGCCAGGGTCACGATCATATCCACTTACAAGGAGCACATTTTGCTTCGTTTGTAGTCAGAGCTCAAACCCGGGTTGTACCTCTTGTACCTTGATTCCACCAGCACTGTTCAACAAAGTTTGAACCATGAATATTTGTCATAATTTTGTTTAGATTGTCCCACTCGAGATGAAATAAGCTGTTGAGCTGAGGAGTGAGGGAAGTTGATATATTATCGTCAAGAGCTGATGATAAATCTGAACAAAATTATGACAAACATTAATGGTTCAAAGATGTTGAACATTGCTGGAATCATAGTACAGAAGTTGAAACTAAAGTTTGGAGCCAGCAACCAGGAGACAATGCTCCGGATGCTAACTGTCTACGTATGAAGCAAGATGCGCTCATGAGAGTGGATATGACCAAGATCCTGGCATCAGTGTATATATGGTCGTGATGGGCCAAAAACTGTCTGAGAGAGCTGCATTCATTCTGCCTGCGCTAAAATGTAGAGTGCATCTAAGAGTATCATATCTGGTTACTGGTACGTGCAGTTGGGAGCATATAGAAACAACTTGTTCCAGGATTTGGTGGTTTTGTCTCATGTACTCATGAAAAAGTTACCCCTATCAACCAGCCATTCACAAACTATTTTGTCATCAAGGAGCCACGGAAGCAGTCAGAGGAAACCACTATCCACGGAAATTTAATAGGAGTATGTTCTCAAAACTTTTGCGGTTGGTGGTGGTGGTTGGAAGCCCTCCTCCTAATTTCCTAGCAGAGACAACCTATGTCAAAACTAACTTCAAATGATTTTAAATATTCTAGTGTCGTTATAGCACACAATAAAGTTTGTCTTATTCAGACTTAAGGCATAAGAAGCGAATGGTCACTGCCATTAAGGTAGAGCACTTGAGGAAATTTGACGTGGGTGAACATGTTGGATTTAAAAACAATAGAGATGAGTTAACTAAGCATGTAAATAGATGTGTAATTAAGAGGTTGGGTCCTCTCAAATTTTTGGTGCATGTTGCGAGAGAACTACACCATTGTCATGCCGACCTTCTGTTGGCTAGTGTTCCTGTCAATGACGTAAGTGATAATAATCCAATGGAAGCAGCGAGATCCACATGTGGTAACACACCCTGATTCTTTGCCAACGCAAAGTTCCACACTCTCTGAAACTCCAATGGTGTTCGAAAACCTCGGAGTGAGTGAACCGGTTGACAAAATCAAACAGTCCTACCAGCTCAAAAACCGCTATTGCGAAGATCCTCACGAATAGTTAAGGCCCCAGAACATCTGAATTTGTAGTTCAAAGTTAGTTGTGGGAGAATATAGCGTACGGCACTCTCAATCAATTCCTAATAACAACAGTACTGTAAAAACGTTGGTTACTTATTTTTTGTATGATATATGGGTCAAATGTTATACCAATAATTAAGTGTCATTGAACATTCAAAATGGCCGGCAATATGGCCGCCAAATGTATTGCTAAGTCAATGTTTTGTATTTAGAATATAAAACAATACTTACTGTATACATTTGATTTTATGTGATTTTTATTTTAAAGATTACGGTATACATTAAATTAATGAAT